GGAAATAAGCTGAGTTCGGTTCAAAAAATGCTCGAAATGGTTTGAACTTCTTGATACAAGAACAGCCTATCCGAACATTTTCGAACATAGTAACGTCGATATTTCTACAAATATCTGTAATTATTTCTCGAATATCCAATATTGAAGCAGGTTCAGTTTCGTACACTTTTTGCTTCAAATAACCCCATAAAAAAAGTCTAAAGGTGTCAAATATGGCGAGCAGGCTGGCCATTCCGTAGGACCTCGACGACCAATCCAACGATTAGGGAAAATATCATCCAAATAGTTCATTACTTGTCTGGAGTAATGTGATGGTGCTCCATCTTCCAATGGACGAGAATTGGCCATTTTAGAGTTAGTTCACCACGTGGTATCTAACTACAATGAGAACTAAACAACCGAAAACTAAATGAAAATACGTTTGAACACTAGGAAAACCAAAAACTAAATGAGCATATTTTGACTAAACAATTAATGTTCGTTGTCGTACTTAAATTTTTTGGAATTTTTTTAACCAACAATAACCTGTCAAACCTTATCGGTTTGCTGGGATTGCTATTTGGTGTAGAAAAACAAATATTTCTAGAAAAATTGATATTAATTTGTTTGTATTCAGGTAATTATTAAATGTCCGCCATTTTGTAGCAGGTGCAGATATTGACTTTATATTCCAGGGTTGTAGAGTATTTGTCAGGAGCTTCAAAATGATGTATCACAAGACCCCCCTTTCCATTTAAATTTATTTCTCAATATGGCGCCCAGTCGCCATCTTGATATTTTCATCTGTCAATTTTACTCCAAAATATAGTAATCATGCATTAGTTTTGTTATCCTAAATTTCAATTTTCTAAGTTGATCCGTTCAAAAAATAAAAGGGGGGACATTAAAGAAATGCACTGTATATCAATAATAGTTGCACTTACTTTGATGCAGCTAATTGGGTTGTCAAAAACACTTGTTCTCGGAATGCGAATGTCTGTGATGAAGCTTTGAGGATTCGAAGAATGTACGGTGGCTACCAATATTCCACTGAAAACAGAATAATAAAAATAAATTTTACCTCAAAAAGTTACAAAACGTTTAGCTAAAGAGATGTTTAATTGAACATGTAATGCCCGATTTCACCAACATGTTGTTAGGTATTTCCTAACTAGGTAATTCCTAAGGTAGGAATTACTTAAATCGAATACTTACCTAAATCGAATTTCACCAACATTAGAAATCCCTTACTAAGAAATACCTTAGGTAAAAATTTGATTTTGACAATTTTTTGAATTTTATTGGTAGCACTGGCTAATTTTGATGTGTAAACCGAATAAGCGGAGATCGAAATTGAATATGTTGACAGAAAAGAAGAGATTTTGACGATCCGGGCCATCTTTAAATTATGTTAGTTATTTTTAAATCTGCTGAAGATGTAGTCTGTACATTAATATTATAGAAAAATAACCTTTCCGATTTGTAAAATATTTCTACATCTTCTTCTCCAGGACAATGGATCTTTACATGCATGTGTACGGTCAATAGTTCCAAAAACTTCCTGTGTATCAAATTAAAAATCATCTTCAATTCTTTCTAATATTTGTAATGCCGTATTTTTATATATCGAAAAAGGCGAAAAAAAATCAGTTTCGTCCAGTTTCTAAAAACTCTCCTCCCATTTTAAATTTTCATCTAAAGAGTCTAAAGACAGTCAAGACTTAAGTCACAAGAAATTACATGGAAAGTATGGTTAAGTATTTCCTAAATGTTTTAGGCAAGCTCAGTCAGCTGTCCTAACTTTAGGCATTTCCTATTACCTTTAGGTATTACTTAGTGCATGGTGAAACGCAAATTGTACTTAGAAATTCCTAAATCCGGTTTAGGTATTACCTAACTTTAGGAACTGGTTGGTGAAATCGGGCATAAATGTATCAATGTAAATAACAAGTAAACTACAAGAAAAATAAAAATAAAAACTTACGGATTATCGGGTTCCGGGCACAAGGTGTAGGAATTGTTGTACTGACCCTGCAAGGCCTTGCCTTGAACAGCGCAGATAAGACCAAATAAACAGAGAACTGCTACCTTGAACATTTTGATTAGGAATTGAATAAACAATGCTGCTCGATGATGAAAATCTAGCTTATATACAATATAGTAAACTTATTTGAATTATTATCTGTACATTTCTCTTACTTTACCTTTGAGACATTTGTGAGTGCCGATTAAGGCAATTAAAATACGACTGGTTAAAGTCTGTAGAGGTGTCTTAAAATAACTCGAGTGGAAAATATGGTAAATTGTGTTTTCAAGATGACTTTACTATTTACGAGTTATGATAAATTCGGTGGTATTAAAGGGTGTTAAATTAAAAGTTTTTCACGCCTCTGGGTTAGGAAACAGCAAATAAAATGTATCTGCAGTATAAATTAAAGTATAGGTACGTGTAAAATACAGGGTGTTTCACAACTTATCCGACAAATTTTAACCACATATGCACTGTTACGAGAGAAGTTAATTTCCCAAAAAAAATGTAATAAAAGTCTTACAGAAATCACAATTACTTTGCTTTGGTGTCAGTTTTAAATAATTATTTAGGGATTTGCAATCGGAATTAAACTTTCCACGCATTGAAAATATTAAATAAGTACTTTTGTGACCAATGTAATTGAAATGTAATTGTAAAATGTAATTGTAAAATGTAATTGTAAAATGTAATTGTAATTGTAACGAAAGGAGTAATTGAATTACAAATGAATTACAATTGAAGATCTTATAATTAATTACCGCCTCAATTACAATAAAAGTAATTCAATTACTTTTTCAATTACTTGCAAATAATTACTTAACAACACTGGTCTTATATTTACTGGTATTGTTCACGAGAAGAAATTTGATACACGAGTTGTAGATGAGTTGTATTTTTATAGTGTGTTGTAAAGGACTAGTTTTGCAGTATTCTAAAGGACTAGAATCTTTTATAACTCTTCAAGTTAGTATCAAGTAGGTTTCGGATTAGTTTGATTCTTTCACATTATATTGAAATCATAATAAATTGCTCCACAAAAGTTCGCAAATTTTGCGATTATTTTAAAAGTTACAGACTTTTTGATCACCAAATTTTCAAATATGCGAAATTAAATGTTTTCTCTCATATCTGAGTGGATATTTTGCCCCTACCTTTACAACTCAAACTAAATTTGGCAATCAAAAAACCTGTAACTTTTAAATTAATCTCAATATTTGTGAACTTCCTTAACTTTTGTGGAGCAGTATAGTTCATTATAAAAATAAAAGTGATTATAGAAACTTCATATTTACTTTATTTTATAGAAAAAAGTTTCATATATAATCATCTCTCTTTGAACACTTTTTTAACTATAATCCACCCAATAATTGGGATAAAAGATTAGTATCTATTTCATTATATAAAAAAACGTTTCATTGCATATTTCCTCCAAAAATTTCGCAAAATCTCTACTCCTTACTTGCCCTAACTACAGAAAACTGATTCTTCAAAAAAACACTTTCCCTTTAGTACGATTATACAGGGTGTTTCACAACTTATCCGACAAATTTTAACCACATATGCACTGTTACGAGAGAAGTTAATTACACAAAAAAAACGTAATAAAAGTCTTACAGAAATCGAGATAATAAAATAATAGTTTAACAGTTCAATTACTTATACAAGATGTTCAAAATTGTTCCCATTTACTGCAATGCAAGCTTGGGTGCTTGTTTTTTTTGTTTTAACCATTGTTTTGGTGCAACATTTGCTACAGTAAAGTATTAAGGCAAAATTATGAACGCAAAAAGCAGTATTTATTTTTCAATTTTTTATTGAAACTCGGGTTTATAATTTTATTTCTGTATGACTTTTATTACATTTTTTTTGAGATTTCTCAAAGAGAGAGAAGTTGATTTCACGTTAAAATGTACATTATGAGATTTTTGGTCCATGTAAAATGTAATTGAAGGGATTTTAATTATTTTTTCTTTAATAAAACCAGATTTACTTAACACTTTCATGAAAATTCCTGAAATAGACCTATTGAACTTGAATTAACATTCACATAAACCAATAAAAATTACAATTACAGATCCGCACTTAATAAAATTAAAATGATTTCAATTCATTTTATAATTAATCATTGATTAATCAATTTTTACTTTCTACATGAGAAAATTCAAAACTTCATCCGTGGACACACAAAATTGGAATTTTAATTTGAAAATTTGTATTCAGGCTTTATTTTAGATTATAAACAACTTTCTTTCATAAAAATTTTGTGTAAAATAAAAAATAATGGTACTTCCCTCTTGAGGTATTTTCATGTTTTCTTAATTTGACAACACTCTGTAGATCCAATCTAAGATTTTTCAGTGTTTTTCTCATTTTTAAAAGAAGCAAAAATTCTTATAAACATTGACTTTTTGTCGTAAAATGAATATAAAAATTTTTCTCTTATAGGCAACCCCATTTGTGGACACACTGTATATTAACATATTACCTGAACCGCGACTAAAAAAATATCCCCAAAACAATGTCGCCTAAAACAAAAAAGCCCAAAGGGCTATTTTTCGAGGCTATTTTGTCGAGGCTGTTTTGTCTTGGGCAATTTTTAACGGAGTATCTACATGAACATATGAAAGGATTTTATTGATTTTTGAAGGATTAAAATTGTAATGTACCTAAATTGTGAGACTTGAGTGCGTATTTCCTTGAAATCAATACAGATAAGAAATGTAAAATGAATATAAGTACACTTTTCAAGGCACAATACATAGTTCAAACAATAAAATCAAATTCGCGTGTATAAAATCTCTAAACGTTTTTGAGATATGGAATTTTACAAGAAAGAACTTCTAAGAACACTTCAATTTTAATCTTTAAATTTACACAATTTATAGCTTTTTATAAAGTCAAGATAATGTTCTTAGATGCTAATTCTGTTGATGATGCTTTCCAAGATTTCAAGTTTTTCAAGATACTTCAAACAATAATTAAAATATCGGCAGTATAAACATAGTTTATTAAGTTAATTAAGGTATATCAAAAATTATTTGATAGGTATAAGCATTTAACAAAAGTGAAAATATATTAAAATACTCTGTATATTTTGTATTATTCGTCTTTTTATAAATATAATATTTTACACCATTTCTAAACCTTATTTAGGAGGTTTAGTGTAGATTTTGAAAGTGTAGTCGAATCCTACCGATAACGGAAGGTTGTCCAACCAACCGTTGAGGAAATAAATTCTAAATTTGATAAAGTTCTGGTTAAGACCTCCTTCTATGGGACCAGCATCGGTGAAGCTGTTATCCTTATTGTCAATTACCTAAAAAATAAAATACTCTTACAATAATTATACCACCTTGAAAAAATACCTATAAAAGTATAAATGGAAATTGTTCAATTGGATATACAATATTTTGCAGTGGTATATTTTTTTAGAAAATACTAAGGAAATATTGCAATATCGTTTCTAAAACTGTACCTTATTGATACCTATCAAAATTAATACAGCTTTAAGGAAGTTATACAGTGTGTCTACTTAAATTCGCACCATATGGAAAACTTTTTATTATTAATTTTACGAAAAAAAGTTATTCTTCATAAAAAGTTCTGCATGTTTTAAAACCTAAAATACAATCATCAGATATCTAATTTTTTCATTCGTATACGAGGTTTGTCAGAAAATATGAATTTTGCTCAAAAGTAAAGTAAATCTATTTTTGAAAATATTGGAAATTGTTATCTGTTATCTCTTTATTCGTTAAAAATTTGATTACATTTACATCTCTTAACCTCTATGTTGCATTAGTTTGATTTTGAATTGAAATAAATGATAACAAAATAATTTATTTTACAATAATTATCGACTACATAGAAACATTGCTAGGTGTTGATAGTTTAAAGAAGAAAAATAGATTACTTACTTATAATTGGATGTAATTACATATTTGAACGTAATTTTTAGTCCTGATCAACTTTTCTTAATAACAATTACCGATATTTCCAAAAATAAAGGTACTTTACTCTTGAGCAAAAAACACAATTTTTGACAAACCTCGTATACGGATTAAAAAAAATTGTTATCTGATGGTTGTATTTTAGGTTTTAAAACATGCAGAACTTTTTATGAAGAATAACTTTTTTTCGTAAAATTAATAATAAAAACAGTTTTCCATAAGGTGCGAACTTAAGTAGACACACTGTATATCAATAATAGTTGCACTTACTTTGATGCAGCTAATTGGGTTGTCAAAAACACTTGTTCTCGGAATGCGAATGTCTGTGATGAAGCTTTGAGGATTCGAAGAATGTACAGTGGCTACCAATATTCCACTGAAAACAGAATAATAAAAATAAATTGTACCTTAAAAAGTTACAAAACGTTTAGCTTAAGAGATGTTTAATTGAACATGTAATGCCCGATTTCACCAACATGTTGTTAGGTATTTCCTAACTAGGTAATTCGTAAGGTAGGAAGTACTTAAATCGAATACTTACCTAAATCGAATTTCACCAACATAAGAAATCCCTTAATAAGAAATACCTAGGTAAAAATTTAATTTTGACAGTTTTCTGCATGTTATTGGTAGCATTGGCTAATTTTGACGTGTAAACCGAATAAGCGGAGATCGAAATTGAATATGTTGACAGAAAAGAAGAGATTTTGACGATCCGGGCCATCTTTAAACTATGTTAGTTATTTTTAAATCTGCTGAAGATGTAGTCTGTATACATTAATAGAAAAATAACCTTTCCGATTTGTAAAATATTTCTACATCTTCTTCTCCAGGACTATTTAACTTTACATGCATGTGTACGGTCAATAGTTCCAAAAACTTCCTGTGTATCAAATTAAAAATCATCTTCAATTCTTTCTAATATTTGTAATGCCGTATTTTTATATATCGAAAAAGGCGAAAAAAAATCAGTTTCGTCCAGTTTCTAAAAACTCTCCTCCCATTTTAAATTTTCATCTAAAGAGTCTAAACACAGTCAAAACTTAAGTCACATGAAATCACATGAAAAGTATGGTTAAGTATTTCCTAAATGTTTTAGGCAAGCCCAGTGAGATGTCCTAACTTTAGGCATTTCCTATTACCTTTAGGTATTACTTAGTGCATGGTGAAACGCAAATTGTACTTAGGAATTCCTAAATCCGGTTTAGGTATTACCTAACTTTAGGAACTGGTTGGTGAAATCGGGCATAAATGTATCGATGTAAATAACAAGTGAACTACAAGAAAAATAAAAATAAAAACTTACGGATTATCGGGTTCCGGGCACAAGGTGTAGGAATTGTTGTACTGACCCTGCAAGGCCTTGCCTTGAACAGCGCAGATAAGACCAAATAAACAGAGAACTGCTACCTTGAACATTTTGATTAAGGATTGAATAAACAATGCTGCCCGATGATGAAAATCCACTTTATATACAATATAGTAAACTTATTTGAATTATTATCTGTACCTTTTTCTTACTTTACCTTTGAGACATTGTGAGTGCCGATTAAGGCAATTAAAATACGACTGGTTAAAGTCTGTAGAGGTGTCTTAAAATAACTCGAGTGGAAAATATGGTAAATTGTGTTTTCAAGATGACTTTACTATTTACGAGTATATGATAAATTCGGTGATATTAAAGGGTGTTAAATAAGTTTTTCACGCCTCTGGGTTAGGAAACAGCAAATAAAATGTATCTGCAGTATAAATTAAAGTATATATAGGTACTTACATACGTGTAATATACAGTGTGTGTCATGACGAGGGCCCATTAGAAGTATCTGGAAAAGTAGTTGTAAATAAAATTTGAAAATTTGTGTACAAGTATTAGTCGATGCGCTCTATTCAATGAAAATATTTTCAACTTTTCTTTACTTCCGGTTATACCCCATATATTAATATATTTTCAAAATGTACGCATAATTTTAGAGTGCTTTTGTCTAAAAAACTTTTTTCAAAAATGCATACTTTTTGAGTTACTAATTTTTTTTTGAAAAATTTTACCGATGCAGACCCTTACAAATTATTTTTTTACGGGGATCCCTTTAAAGATATGGATACGGTTTCTGTAGGGTGGTCACTAGCAAGGTTAAAGGTAATTGAATCTGTGTTAAAAAACTTTTTACTTTATACAAGGTGTATACAAAACATCTGAAAAGTTAAACTTCAAAAATACCAAATTATTTCATTTTTTTAAATGGAACCACCCATTTTTTTCTATGTTATTGAAACAGCGATAAAAAATAAGGAAAGTTCATGTTTACTTCCCTATAACTAAACCTAATAGTTTTGAAGATATTGAATATTTTACATAAATCTTACTTTTCTGTCTTATTCTTAAATAACTCTGTTTTACAAGTTGGCCATGTAATATCTCACAAGTACCAAAATTAATAATCAATTAATTACAAACAATTTACATGGCCAACTTGTAAAAACGGATTATTAAGGAAAAAGGCAGAAAAGTAAGTTTTAAGTAAAATTTTTAATATCATCAAACCTATTAGGTTTAGGTATAGGGAAGTAAACATGAACTTTCCTTATTTTTTATTGCTGATTTCAATAAAATAGAAAATTTTTTTTAACCTTTTTAACCGTTTTTTAACCTTTTTCTCTTAAAAAGGTTTCTTTTGCTTCTACCGTTTATTTCAAAGTAAATTCTTAATTTTAATAAATATGGAATTGTGTTTTTTATAATTCTTTAGGAATCCTTTTTGTAAATATTAATTTGTTGGAGAAAGAAGGACATTTCGGATATAAAAAGGAAATAGATATAGGGCAATATATAAACAGATTAGAACTTTCATAATATACTTCATTTATTTACTATAGTAAATGCTAGCTTATGCTAGATGTTTTCGGTGTGACTGTAATTTAGTCGACAATGGTTTCGTGTAGATTAAGAAAGTGTAATCGTATCCGCTGTCTGTTCCAGTGTAACCAGTGTTAAGAAAATAAATCTTAAATTCGACCATACTTTTGCCGAGTCCTCCGTAGTTGACGGCAGCTTCAGAAATATCCTGATTTTCCATATTGTCAATGACCTAAAAAATTATTGTTAAATTCATTCGTTAAAAAATTACAATTTAGAAAAAGTTTAAATCGATTTTCCAGATGGACACTTTGCTGATGATGATGCTAATGATCTAATATTTGAATCTAATCAAAATTCATTAAAAGTTGAATGACTCAAATCTGATGAGCTTTTCAATGGATTCATGGTTAATTGTTCTTACTTTGATACAGCTTATTGAGTTTGCGAAAACACTTCTTTCTGGAATACGAACGATTGCGTTGACATCTTCTTGACTTTTAGAACTAACGTTGGCTACTAAGTTTCCACTGAAAACAGAACAATTAAAGTATTAAAGTTAAAAGTAAAAATAAGATTTTTTTATATTTTAGCCAGATTCGTCTCACAATCGGTAGTTAAGCCATGTCCCAACCTTTTTGCGACACCCTGTTTACAGGGTGTTTCATTGGGAAAGGGCAATATTTTAACCCTATATAGATGTCACTCAGGGGATTACAAAAAACCCTTATACTATGGGTCTTGCGCCCTTTATAACCGAGTTACAGGGTGTTTTTTGAATTTGGCCCATTTCTTTCGGCACCTATAACTTTTGAATCACTCAGTATATTTTTTTGATATTTGACATAGATATTCAATATCTTTAGGACAATTTATTGCCACATTAAAAAATTACAAAATCCAGGTCCGGTTTTAGAGAAATTATTAAAATTTGACCGACCCTAAAACAGCACTTTTATACACCCTTAATACATCACATTTTTAAAAATTGAATTTCAAATTTAGAAAGAGCATAAAAACCTGAATGTATCCATCAACTTTTTATTTTCCCGCTTGCCGTTTTTCTACCAAAATTTAAACGTTAACATGTACATTATGAGATTTTTGGTCCTTGTAAAATGTAATTGAAGGGATTTTAATTATTTTTTCTTTAATAAAACCAGGTTTACTTAACTCGTTCATGGAAATTCCTGAAATGAACCTATTGAACTTGAATTAACATTCACATAAACCAATAAAAATTACAATTACAGATCCGCACTTAATAAAATTAAAATGATTTCAATTCATTTTATAATTAATCATTGATTAATCAATTTTTACTTTCTACATGAGAAAATTCAAAACTTAACTAAGCAATTTATTAGCTTTTTTTCAAAAAATACTAAAAGTACTCATTTCCACACCACCAAGAGATAGAACACATTTACCTATAGTAAGCATTTTTAAAGAATTAAAAAACAATCCCAATGTTCTTAGAAGATTTATTTGCAATTTGATTAGGAGAGCTAGATTATGTATCGAACAAAATGGAGGACATTTTGAGCAATTGTTAAAATACCTTTCTGTCTGGTTTTTTTTGTTGTTAGTTTGTTAGTTATTATTTTTTGTTATTTATAATTAGCATTAAATTAGTAGATATTAATTATTTGGTTAAAAACCAAATTTCTTGTTCGTTTGTTTTTAGAGTTGTTTTTTGTTAATTTTTTTGTTTATTTTTCATATTTTTTATTCATTGTTCCATTTTTCCAGTTCGTGTGGATTAGGCCTATTGGGGATACCACATTAAAAACGCTCCTTGTGTTCTACCTCTTGGTGGTGTGGAAAAGAATACTTATTCTAGTATCTTTTTTGAAAAATCTAGTAAATTACTTAGTTAAGTTGTGAATTTTCTCATGTAGAAATGTAAAAATTGATTAATAAATGATTAATTATAAAATGAATTGAAATCATTTTAATTTTATTAAGTGCGGATCTGTAATTGTAATTTTTATTGGTTTATGTGAATGTTAATTCAAGTTCAATAGGTTCATTTCAGGAATTTCCATGAACGAGTTAAGTAAATCTGGTTTTATTAAAGAAAAAATAATTAAAATCCCTTCAATTACATTCTTCATGGACCAAAAATCTCATAATGTACAATTTAACGTTTAAATTTTGGTAGAAAAACGGCATGCGGGAAAATAAAAAGTTGATGAATACATTCAGTTTTTTATGCTCTTTCTAAATTTGAAATTCAATTTTTAAAAATGTGATGTATTAAGGGTGTATAAGGGTGTTGTTTTAGGGTCGGTCAAATTTTAATAATTTCTCTAAAACCGGACCTGGATTTTGTAATTTTTTAATGTGGTAATAAATTGTCCTAAAGATATTGAATATCTATGTCAAATATCAAAAAAACATACTGGGTGATTCAAAAGTTATAGGTGTCGAAAGAAATGGGACAAAAATTCAAAAAACACCCTGTAACTCGGTTATAAAGGGCGCAAGACCCATAGTATATGGGTTTTTTGTAATCCCCTGGGTGACCTCTACATAGGGTTAAAATATTGCCCTTTCCCAATGAAACACCCTGTATGTGTTATGTCAGAGGAGATGTTTAATTGAATTATACAGTGGAAGTTCAGCTATGCATTTCTGGCATCATGGAAATACATACAATATTAATATCAAAAAAACAACTTACGGATCGTCCAAATTCTTGCACAATGTGTATGAACTGTTATATTTGTTATTCTGCAAGGACATGCCTTGAACAAAACAGATCATAAGACCAAATACACAGAGAGCTGCTGCCTTGTACAGGGTGGCCAAATAAGGATGGCTCTCGACCATATCTCGCAAACTAATTGTCATAGAGACTTGCGGTAAAAAATCTTATGACTAAATCGGCAAAAAGAAAATGCTGGAAATAATTTTTAGGTCTCTAAAATGGCCGCTATGGGGAGTATCCGCCATCTTGATTTTAAAAAGTCATTTTTTTCAAAATTTTCCTAAATAAAGGTATCAAAAATGTGTTTTATTTTGATAGTTAAGATAATTTCGATTATTTTTTGTAATATATTTTTGACTCTATCTTTTAAAATAAAGTGGTGGGGGTGGTTTGAATATTTGAACAAATAAATGTTAATAACTTTTAAATGGCTGAACCGATTTTCAAAAAAATGAAATTGTTGAAAAGGGCTTTCTTTGGTTTATAATTTACGCTATATAAGATATTATTTTAATTGCTTGCTTGGCCGCAAGATGGCGTTTTTCGACATTACTTCAAAAAACACCGATTTTCTCAAAAAATTTAAATGCAACGATATAACTTTTTCTTTGGAGAAAAATAGTCAAATAATTGCCAAACAAGCCTGTGAAAACCGCATCTCGATATCCCCTTCCTAACCTAAAATATATCTAAAAAAAGAAAAAAATCAAGAAAATTGGTAATTTTTGGTGCACTACAAATATAAAAGCCTCTAATTATCGTTATTCCATCCACAAAAATAATCAATTTAATAATAATCTTCAAGTATAATATTTAGAAACACCAAGCTAAGTAATATGCATTCAATAATTATTGGATTTCCCTTCCCATTCGCACTAGTTGAGAACAAACGAAATAACCATGCCGTGGAAAATGAAAAACCAAAAAATCTAACGACCTAGTCTCCAAAAATGAGCTGGGCATCCATCGGGTAGGAAATACATATTTCTTCGAGTTTCCAGACGAACATCTTCCAATAACCTAGGAATTCGTTACGTAGAAAATTTAGATATGTCTGTCCGTTGAGTCGCCCATTAATAAACCAGGGAACAACAACTGTCACCAAGTATACCATACCACACGTTTATACCAACGTCCTTAATTAATCTGGACCTGCTGCGTCCAGTTTTTTGTTTTTTTTTTATTTTCCACGGCATGGTTTTTTCGTTTGTTCTCAACTAGTGCGAATAGAAGGGAAATCCAATAATTATTGAATGAATATTACTTAGCTTGGTATTTCTAAATATCATACTTGAAGATTATTAATAAATTGATTATTTTTGTGGATGGAATAACACTAATTAGAGGCTTTTATATTGGTAGTGCACCAAAAATTACCAATTTTCTTGATTTTTTTCTTTTTTGGTTTTTCATTTTCCACGGCATGGTTATTTCGTTTGTTCTCAACTAGTGCGAATAGAAGGGAAATCAATAATTATTGAATGAATATTACTTAGCTTGTTGTTTCTAAATATTATACTTGAAGATAATTATTAAATGGATTATTTTTGTGGATGGAATAACGATAATTAGAGGCTTTTATATTTGTAGTGCACCAAAAATTAGCAATTTTCTTGATTTTTTTCTTTTTTTAGATATATTTTAGGTTAGAAAGGGAATATCGAGATGCGGTTTTCACAGGCTTGTTTGGCAATTATTTGACTATTTTTCTCCAAAGAAAAAGTTATATCGTTGCATTTAAATTTTTTGAGAAAATCGGTGTTTTTTGAAGTAATGTCGAAAAACGCCATCTTGCGGCCAAGCAAGCAATTAAAATAATATCTTATATAGCGTAAATTATAGACCAAAAAAAGCCCTTTTCAACAAATTTAATTTTTTAAAAATCGGTTCAGCCGTTTAAAAGTTATTAACATTTATTTGTCAAAATATTCAAACCACCCCCACCACTTTATTTTAAAAGATAGAGTCAAAAATATATAACAAAAAAGAATCGAAATTATCTTAACTATAAAAATAAAACACGTTCTTGATACCTTTATTTAGGAAAATTTTGAAAATAACGACTTTTAAAAATTAAGATGGCGGATACTCCCCCTAGCGGCCATTTTAGAGACCTGAAAATTATTTCCAGCATTTTCTTTTGGCCGATTTAGTCATAAAATTTTTTACCGCAAGTCTCTAAGACAATTAGTTTGCGAGATATGGCCGAGAGCCATCCTTATTTGGCCACCCTGTACATTTTGAATTCAGGATTGAATTAAGGATGTTTCTTAACGATGAGAAGCGAGCTTATATAATATAGGTTTAATTTTAATTTTTATCTAGACAAATTTCTTACTTTACCTTTGAAATATAATCATGAGTGTAAACTTAATTTGAATATAGATATTTCACATCATTTTGAGAGAACATCTATTGTGATATTTGTTAGTTAGAACCATAGGGTCGGTATAGATAAGATTGTAAAGTAAATACACTCCTGGACAAAATTAACGCAACATCATAAATTTGCCACATTTTTTATGCTATTTTTTGTTTGAATTTATGATCCGATTTGGATGATTTTTTTTTGTATTATAGGTTGGTTCCTTGACAATGTCATCATTTTCGCTGTTTATGATAAAATGTTCCTTTTCGATTATACCGGGTGTAATAAAAATGTAATGTTTTTTCCGAAAATTCGTATCACTCTGTGGAGTATACTAACAAACGAGACATATAGCAGTTGAAATTAGACGGTAGATTCATCTTTTGTCAACATTTTCTTTTTTGGTTTACTTCATTATCTCTGTTATAAAAGACGATACGCCGTTTTATAGCGTAACATGTTTTAATAGACTGTATTATTCAAAACATTCATTGTTAAATATTTTCAAGTAGGCTATGGGCGATTTTTGACATTTCAAGTGATGTGTCAATATCGAATACATTGTTTGTTATCTGTATAACAAAATAATTCCTGCTCGCTTTGATGAATGAAAACAAAATTAACGAATTACTTTATTCCATAAAGTAAAATTAAGAGTTTATTAAACACATTTTTTTTGGAAACGAGCGAAACAAGAAAAGAACAAAAAACAAAAACAATAAAATTAATGGATTTATAATGCTAATAACGTGTATGTCCACCTCTAATTCGAATCAATGCTCCTTTGCAATATGACTCATTGAATAGCCTTCATCCACCAAAGTTAAGGCTTTTACTGCTTCTTCGGTCGATAAATTTTTTGGACGATTCATTTTTTAAGATTAAAATAACAAATAATGTATTCGATATTGACACATCACTTGAAATGTCAGAAATGGCCCATAGCCTACTTGAAAATATTTAACAATGAAATATATTTTGGGTTCTCCAAAATGCGTTTTTAAAAAAACTTTTAATTTTACAAAAAGATATTTTAGTACAATTAGATAAAATTATATGTTAACAACTTGAATACAACCGGCAAAATCACCGTGGGAATGCTAAAACAAACTTTTATACTAGAAATATGAAACCAAAAAATGTTGAGTCCAGGATTTTGTTTTCTATGTAAAACCATGTAACACCGTGAGATAACTAATGGATGTTTTGAATAATACAGTCTATTAAAACATGTTACGCTATAAAACGGCGTATCTCCTTTAATAACAGAGATAATGAAGTAAACCAAAAAAGAAAATGTTGGAAAAAGATGGTTCTATCGTCTAATTTCAACTGCTATATGTCTTGTTTGCTAGTATACTCCACAGAGTGATACGAATTTTCGGAAAAAAACATTACATTTTTATTACACCCGGTATAATCGAGAAGGGACATTTTATCATAAACAGCGAAAATGATGACATTGTCAAGGAACCAACCTATAATACAAAAAAAAAATCATCCAAATCGGATCATAAATTCAAACAAAAAATAGCATCAAAAATGTGGCAAATTTATGATGTTGCGTTAATTTTGTCCAGGAGTGTACTTGGAGCCAAAAGCACTATGTGTGTGCTATATACCTAAAGCTTTTTAGGTGTAGTAAAAATTATAGGCGTACAATGAACCTTGAATTTTTATATTTTAATTGATTAACATTAATTTATTGACTTATGCTAGCTAATTAGATGGCGTTACAGTGATTGAGTCGGAGCTAGGTCTCGTATAGATTTGGAAAGTGTAGTCGTAATCAGCCAATATCGAATGGATATAAATTTTGAAGATGGCAAATTGGTGGTTGAGCCCTCCTTGAACTATCACAACTTCGCTTGCGTTATAACTCGAATTGTCGATGACCTAAAAATAATATCGATTAACAATTTTTTTAAACAATTCGTTAATTTATGTATCGTAATCATTTGTTTAAGAAGCCTCTTAAACATCTCGAAAAACATGGCAACCAACGAGATAAAATAAGATAAAATAATATTTGAATCTAATATTTTTAACAAGTTTTGATGGGTCTTTGAAGGACCGTTCTCCATTAAGAGATGTACTTACTTTGATGCAGCTAATTGGTCGTTTGAAATCCCCTTTTTCCGGTAAAAGAATGTATACCTCGTCCCTTACATCCGAATCCTTATACCTTACATTAGCTTCCAATGTTCCACTGAAAACAGAGCAATTAAAAGTTTTCTACGATTAAAAAACGCTGAAGTAGTTTTTGTTTTTTAAATCGAATTTAGCGACTTCAAATTTTCACCCTTAACTCAAAAAACTTACGGATTTTGCAAATCCTGGCACTTAGTGAAGGAATTGTTATATTTTTTTCCTCTCAAGGATATGCCTTGAACTGAGAGGATTATAAGACCAAATAAACAGAGAACTGTTACCTTGAACATTTTGATTTTAGGACTGATTGCTCCTTGTTGATAAAAAGTTGTATTATTTGAATTTTATCTGTACAATCTAATACATCTAATTTACCTTGGAGGTGTTATGTACCTAAGTGTCGATGATTATGAGTACCTAGTGCTAATAAATGAGAAAAAACAGGTACTTTTATGGAGCTTTTCAGAGCTTTCGAAGAGCCATTTTGAAGCTCTTTTGAAAGTTGAGATCCGTTATAGTAGTTAATAAATAAATAATTTATACTTCAATTAAGTGCAGGTACATTAAATAGCAAATTTATTGTAAAATTTCATTTACCAAAGGGAGTATAATGTGTGTTTATTTAAATATTTATATCTAAAGGAACATAAACATGTAAATATTAAAGATAAATTATGAAAATGATAGACGATAAAAATAAATTGAACTATCCTGCAGGTATATTTTATTTTGTAGTCTGGTATTTTCATATTCCCGAAAGTGAAACGAGACAGCAAGTAATAAGTGGCTAAATAACATTAGTGTAGTAGGACTAATAATCCTAATAGAAAAGAAGAATAAGTTAGGTTATATTTTGTTTAAAAACAAAACGTCAAAGTCAATTAAAAAAGGGGAGTCGAAACAAAATACTGTTATATTTAAATTAAACATAACGATGAACATTATCGATGAAAGAAAAGTAGAAATATCAAACAAATTGAAAAAAGTAAATGCATTTTATTATATTACAAACTCGATTTAATTTCTTCCAATTTCAGGAACAGGCCAATCTTTCCTTACTGCAAGAAAGGCTAACGAAAAGCGCACAATTAACCGAAGGAATTAGCAGTATTTTGAACAATTTCGAGCAAAGATTATCCCGATTAGAACACACCATTTTACCCGTCTACATAGAAACAGAAACACTCCGAACGGCCCAAACGAGTATTGTTATTTTGCATTTCGATAATCCAGTGGGCGTGTTGAATATGTCAATTTTCAGATATCGAACCTACATTGCGCCTACTGGATAATGTCATCAGCCATTTCGAGGTCTCCAGCGATGTGGAGCACATTGTAGAAAGGGGTCCCGGCGAAGGGGGTACCGATTTACAATCGTACATGAACGCTCTCGAAAGGCTATCGAAAGCTCAAAAGTACTTCGAAAAGAACATACCTCAAAGTGTCGAGTTAATCAATGTTGTAAGTACATAATACAGGGTGTCCCCTACATACTCTATTAATTTTTTTTCCTAATTTTAGACCTCCCTTTTTCTGAAAGGCAGTGATAAACTAAATACGGAATTCAAAACAATTTTGGATAAGTATAATACTCCTATTTTGCCTGTGGTACTGCTTGATTTGATAAATGCGGAAGGTAAATTTTCGTTTTGATATCTTTTGAATAAGAATTTGCTTCCATTAATTCATTAATTTCTGTATAAATACTGAATAATAGAGCTTTGGTACTATAAAGTATTGTACACGGAATAGAACAGGATTCGTACAAGGCTTTCATACAGTCTTTTTATTAATACTAGTTGATAAAAGCGAATATTTGTATCTAAGTAGGTCTAATACACTCCTGGACAAAATTAACGCAACATCATAAATTTGCCACATTTTTTATGCTATTTTTTGTTTGAATTTATGATCCGATTTGGATGATTTTTTTTTTGTATTATAGGTTGGTTCCTTGACAATGTCATCATTTTCGCTGTTTATGATAAAATGTTCCTTCTCGATTATACCGGGTGTAATAAAAATGTAATGTTTTTTTCCGAAAATTCGTATCACTCTGTGGAGTATACTAGCAAACGAGACATATAGCAGTTGAAATTAGACGGTAGATCCATCTTTTGCCAACATTTTCTTTTTTGGTTTACTTCATTATCTCTGTTATTAAAGGAGATACGCCGTTTTATAGCGTAACATGTTTTAATAGACTGTATTATTCAAAACATTCATTGTTAAATATTTTCAAGTAAGCTTTGGACCATTTTTGACATTTCAAGTGATGTGTCAATATCGAATACATTATTTGTTATTTTAATCTTGAAAAATGAATCGTCCAAAAAATTTATCGACCAAAGAAGCAGTAAAAGCCTTAACTTTGGTGGATGAAGGCTATTCAATAAGTCATATTGCAAAGGACCATTGATTCGAATTAGAGGTGAACATACACGTTATTAGCATTATAAATTCATTAATTTTATTGTTTTTGATTTATGTTCTTTCCTTGTTTTACTCGTTTCCAAAAAAATGTGTTTAATAAACTCTTAATTTTACTTTATGAAATAAAGTAATTCGTTAATTTTGTTTTCATTCATCAAAGCGAGCAGGAATTATTTTGTTATACAGATAACAAATAATGTATTCGATATTGACACATCACTTGAAATGTCAAAAATGGCCCATAGCCTACTTAAAAACATTTAACAATGAATGTTTTGAATAATACAGTCTATTAAAACATGTTACGCTATAAAACGGCGTATCTCCTTTAATAACAGTGATAATGAAGTAAACCAAAAAAGAAAATGTTGGCAAAAGATGGTTCTACCGTCTAATGTCAACTGCTATATGTCTTGTTTGCTAGTATACTCCACAGAGTGATACGAATTTTCGGAAAAAAAACATTACATTTTTATTACACCCGGTATAATCGAAAAAGAACATTTTATCATAAACAGCGAAAATGATGACATTGTCAAGGAACCAACTTATAATTAAAAAAAAATCATCCAAATCGGATCATAAATTCAAACAAAAAATAGCATAAAAAATGTGGCAAATTTATGATGTTGCATTAATTTTGTCCAGGAGTGTATTTGTATCTAAGAAAGTGTAATATAAATCGATTTATCTATTTTAGAATCTACAAAGGAGATTAAAGTAATGCCGAAGCAGATTCCGGACGAAGCGAAATCCAACCTAATTCAAATAGCCAATTGGCTTTTAGACAACGGTCGCGATGAATATTTAACAGTGTATGGAAAAGTTAGAGGTAGCGTTGTACAGAGGTCTTTAACGATGTTAAGAAACCATCAGAAATCCGTCAGCGGTGGAAGTGTACACGGTACCACCAGTTCACCTTTAATGGTTGGTATTTTCTACTAAAAGATTGGTAGAATAATGCTGAACTACAATGATAATGTGAAAAGTTCTCGACCTGATAACGAAAGACCGCGATTTTTAGTTGAAAAATTATTTTTCTTATTAAGTCGAAATCTTTAGTTCAAGACAGTAGGTGTGTGAAGTTGGCACCGCAACTTTAGTTCTCAGTAGTTCTGATTAGAGTTCTGGATTCCTTTGGATAGTTTAGGAGTTCTTTTGTACAAAAAAATAATAGTTCTGGTGTTTTAACACATTATTTTTTTTAAATAAAACATGCGGTGCTAGCTTCAAACCTAAATTTACAATGGAATAGTTCTGATTAGTTTATTTGATGTATTTTAATGAGTTCTAGAGTTCCTGATAATTAAAAAATAATAATAAATATAATCAATAAACAAGTATAAATAGTTAATCAATTAGATATATTATCAGACAATCCATAATTTTTTAATTATTGAAAAAATCGCAAAACACCATGAAAGTTTCTTGTAGAACTCGTCGAATACTATTCAGAACTGTTACTGTTCAGAACTCCTGAGAACTCTCAAAAATGTTTCAAACTCGGACTTGTAGTCAAAAATCACTTCGAGCCAAAAAAAATACAAGTCCTAGTTTGAACAATTTTTGAGAGTTCTCAGGAGTTCTGATAACAGTTCTGAATAGTATTCGACAAGTTCTACAAGAAACTTTAATGGTATTTTGCGAATTTTTCAATAATTAAAAAGTTATGGGTTGTCTGATAATATATCTAATTGATTAACTGTTTATACTTGTTTATTGATGAAATTTATTATTATTATTATTTTTTATATTCAGGAACTCTAGAACTCATCAAATACATCAAATAAACTAATCAGAACTATTCCATTGTAAATTTAGGTTTGAAGTTAGCATCGCATGTTTTATTTAAAAAAATAATGTGTTAAAACACCAGAACTATTATTTTTTGTACAAAAGAACTCCTAAACTATCCAAAAGGAATCCAAAACTCTAATCAGAACTACTGAGAACTAAAGTTGCGGTGCCAATTTCACACACCTCAAGACAGTTCTAAATGATTATGGAGCATTCTAAATGGTTTTAGACAGTTCTAAATGATTCTAAATAGTTTTAGACAGTTCTGAATGAATCTAAATAGTTTTAGACAGTTCTGAATGATTCTAAATAGTTTTAGACAGTTCTGAATGATTCTAAATAGTTTTAGACAGTTCTGAATGATTCTAAATAGTTTTAGACAGTTCTGAATGATTCTAAATAGTTTTAGACAGCTCTAAATTATTCTGATGACACAATTTTCTGTTTTGAAGAAACCGAAGTTTCATAACAGACATGAAACGTCCAGACGCCCGTCGACTAGGAGAATAGGTCAAGTTTTCGAAAGGAAAGCCAACAAAATGCGACAAACTTTAGAACTATCGACTGGCTTATCATTGGGTACTAGAAGGGCCTCCCATTTAGGTTCGTATTTATACTTACATACAGGGTGTCCCAATAGTGCGGTAAAGCCCATTTACTCAGTTATTATAATAGATACGAAAAAATGATAAATAGGAAAAATGTTAAGCACTTTTAGGCGCATAATTTAAAATTATTTTGAATTATACAGGGTGGCCGATAAATCGAAGCCATACCAAACATACCTTTTTTTAAAGGCAATGATACATTTTTTATTTCATATTCGATTTCAGCTCGTATTCACGAGTTTCTCAATATAAGATTTCATATGATTATACTGAGTATTTAAAAAGTTATGGCCATTTTTATGTTTAAATCGACATGATTTCAAGGCCCTGTATATCAGAATCTGTATCAGATAATGTGAATTTTTTCGTGTCAGCATTTTTTGAAAATGGTCTATTTTCACAAAAAATAGTTACATTTTAACAAAATTACAATTTGTATACAGGGTGAGTCAAAACGCAAACATAATAATTACTCGCTTAATTTAAATGGAACACCCTATATTAATAATATCCAATGGGAAGTCTATTTCTTACTGAATCTTTTTTCATAACATTTCTCTATACCTAACTGTCACCGTTTCTGAGATATTTTCAGTTTTATTAAAAAAATGTCCAATTTTTGATTATAATTTCATTTTAATCTAATTACCAATGACGTCGTCGAACTTTTTTTGCTAAATAATAGTAGAAAATTAAATATCGATTAATGATTAACCAAATATCATTAGCAGGTACCCTAAATTTTTATCTATTCTATAATTTAAAGTGACACGAGTTCAATAAGTAGAATTTGCATAGTTCGTAGATGATGACGTCATAGAGGTAACTAGATTAAATTAAAATTATAATAATTTAAAGTTTAATTTAAAAATTACCAAATATTTCGGGTAGTTAATGATCGTTAATTAATTGATATTACATTTTCTACTATTATTTTGCAAAAAAAGGTCGATAACATCATTGGTAATTAGATCAAAATGAAATTATAACATCAAAAACTGGACATTTTTTAATAAAACTGAAAATATCTCAGAAACGGTGACAGTTAGGTATAGGGAAATGTTATGAAAAAAGATTCAGTAAGAAATAGACTTCCATTGAATATTATTAATATAGGGTGTTCCATTTAAATTAAGCGAGTAATTATTATGTTTGCGTTTTGACTCACCCTGTATACAAATTGTAATTTTGTCAGAATATGCCTAATTTTTGTGAAAATAGACCATTTTCAAAAAGTGCTGACACAGAAAAATTCACATTATCTGATACAGATTCTGATATACAGGGCCTTGAAATCATGACGATTTGAACATAAAAATGGCCATAACTTTTTAAATACTCAGTATAGTCATATGAAATCTTACATTGAGAAACTCGTGAATACGAGCTGAAATCGAATATGAAATAAAAAATATATCATTGCCTTTAAAAAAAGGTATATTTGGTATGGCTTCGATTTATGGGCCACCCTGTATATTTCGAAATAATTTTAAATTGTGCGCCTAAAGGTGGTTAACATTTTTCCTATTAATCATTTTTTCGTATCTATTATAATAATTGAGTAAATGGGCTTTACCGCACTATTGAGACACCCTGTATATAGAGCTTGTAGAATTTTGAGCTATATTGCTCAGTAGTTCTTAAAACACAATAATTTTATAACAAGGTAAACACGATGATTGGTGATTGCTTTTAGACATGTCTTACACCGGCGAAGAGTTGGACAACGAACAAGAAATGGACAATTATCTGATATCGGTGATGGCTTTGTATAGGCTGATGCAATTCGAGCAATTGCTGATGAAAGACATCATCACGTCGGCGCATCAACCGCGAGTTTTCGAATTGATCGTAAGGGAAGCGATGGATATCATTGTACAGGATGGAGAAGTAATTTATTTGTAGTTTCAATATGTAGATTGTACAATTCGCTAGGTAGATGATTGTCCAACGAATCAAAAATATGAATCTCTTTAACTTCAAGTCTTTCTTGCATTTATGAAAGTTGTTCTACACTTGTTCTACGCTGATGATTCTTTGGATAGATGCAAAATTGAGTTGTCAGTACCACCAGGGGCCTGTTTTATATAATTGACAAGTTGACAAGTTACAATGTTGGTTGACAAGTATTTAAAAATTTCGTTTCATAAAATAAATTTCGACACTTGTCGAATTACATTTTTGGCATTCGTTTTTCTACAACTGTAATATTAATTAAACGTCAAACTTAAACCAAAAAGAAAGAATTAGTACTTACTATACTGAGGAGCATAAGTATTATCACCACCTTCCTTTTTTCGATATTGGGAAACTTTTACTTTGAAATTGTTTTTTTTTTTCTAGTTGGAGCTATTTTTAGATGTGAACCACGACAATTTCGTTTATTGACAAAAAACTTATTTCTAAAATGCAACAACATTTATTTAATATTCAATTATTTTAATAAAGAAAGAGCATTCTATTTGGAAAATTTAGTCCCACTTCTACAAAAGCTATAAAATGAGCATTGAAACGAACAAAGACAATGCATAATTTCTATACGTTGGTTCTATACATTAGGCGGGGACAAATAGATTTTATTATTTCCTCAATTTTTATCGAATTCATTCGAAATCTTTTATTAAACTCTCATTAAGCTTCCTCCTCACTGTCGCTTGACCACATTTTCTTTTAAATTTACAAGAAAATTGGATGGTGACAGGAAATCAAGTCCCTGTCGCTTTACACTAATATATGATAGGAATAAATGACAAGTGTTGTTTAATTTATTTTTTATGAAACGCAAACCTATCTACAATTGTAAAACATACTTGTAATACCGGGTGTCCCAGAAGTTTCTGACCCATTTTAACTGCAAATATATCGGAACTCAGAAAAGATAGGGAAGTGCGGTTTTCAAAGAACAATTTCTTTTTATATAAAGTTTTTTTCAGTATAAATGTTTCATTAGTAAAATCTTATATAGGGTGTTTTAAAAAATTGGTGTTTTTTAAATCAAAAAATCGCCGATTTTTTTAATGGAACACCCTATATATTTTTATTCTATCTGAAAGATGAACTCTTTCCCTTTAAAAAAAAAGTAAAATTTGTTGAAGTTTAGATGAAAAATAAGTGAGTTATTTGGATTTTAATGATAAATGTTTATTAGATAGAGATGTCTGACTGCCTGACACAAAAAATTACAAAAGAAAATAACAACACAAACTTGAAGATATGTACCAAATTTTATTAAAAATTAACTTTATTATTTTTATTAAATTATCTAATTTAATAAAAATCCTTAAGATGTTCCAAGTGTTGTTCATTTTGGTCTATACATTTTTGTAACCTGAATGAAAAGTTCTGAAAAGAATTTCGCGACATTTCTGGGGTAATTTCTTGGAATGCTCGGACAATGTTACATCTCAGTTGTTCTAGAGTCTCTGGAATAGGATTATAACACCTATCTTTGATAAAAGACCATATAAAAAAGTCTGGAATCGTCAAGTCTGGTGAGTGGGCATGCCACTCAATTGGTCCAGCTCTCCCAATCCACCTATCTCCAAATGTTTCTGTTAAAGAATTTCTAGCCACAAGTGAATAGTGTGGTGGTGCACCGTCTTGCTGAAAGTAAACTGAATTTATGATGCCATCTTGTTCCAGTTGTGCCATCTTGGTGCCATCTTGGTCCAATCTCTTTCGTATTCCTCAATTACCCTTGGATTTTCAGACCCCCATATGCGACAATTATGTTTATTACATCTTCCGTTTAAATGAAATCCAGCCTCATCTGACATTATAAGTAAAACATCAGGAACTTCTCTAAATAAATCTAGTAATGTCTCAGAAAAAACAATTCTGGTTTGAAAATCCCTTTCATATATTTTTTGGTGTATCTGTATTTTATAAGGAGTTAACTTTAATACCTTCATACATCTCTGAACTTCGGATTTTGAATTTCAGTTGTGGATGATACTTTGCGAAGAGATATTCGATTATTATGTTCTTGTAATGTTTCCTGAATACGTAAGAGTCTATTTAAAAAAATATCACCATTACGTGTTTGATATTTCTTCCTTTCTATAGATCCACTTTGTAGAAATGCAGCGTACCATTTTTTAATGCTGTTTTTTGAAGGTGGATGTTTCCTAAATACCTGACGAAATCTTCTTTTGGTAATAACAACTGATTCATACTTAGCATACAATAACACAGTTTTTGTGAACAAATTTTTCACGTGAACAAAATCGCACCATTATTGAAAATAAGTCGGAAACAAATCGCAATGAATTACTTTGACAGTTCGTTGTGTCAGTTTGTTGAATTTATAAAAATTTCAAAGCCTACTTTTACATTGAAACCCGTAGATGCCTACATAACAGCCTATACTAAAAAATCAAATAACTCGCTCATTTTTCTTCAAAACTTCAACAAATTATACATTTTTTTAAAGGGAAAGAGTTCATCTTTCAGATAGAATAAAAATATATTGGGTGTTTCATTAAAAAAATCGGTGATTTTTTGATTTAAAAAACACCAATTTTTTAAAACACCCTATATAAGATTTTACTAATGAAACATTTATACTGAAAAAAACTTTATATAAAAAGAAATTGTTCTTTGAAAACCGCACCTCCCTATCTTTTCTGAGTTCCGATATATTTGCAGTTAAAATGGGTCAGAAACTTCTGGGACACCCGGTATTAGGCTAGTCACTTGTCACTAATAATCTACTCGTGTAATTTTATGAAACACAAACTTGTCAAATACTCCAATCAAATTTAGACTACACTTGTCCGACAGGACTTGTCAGTTATATGAAACAGCCCCCCCAGGTTTCTCTCGTTGAAGTATACAAGGTGGTCCAATAAAACAGTAAAGCTTCTGAAGTAATTTGGGTCATTTTCAGCGTTTTAACACCTTACTCAAGTAAAGTTTTTGTCCATTAAATTTTTAGGGATATACTTTCTGGGCTATACTTTCAACCAGGTGTGTGAAGTTGGCACCGCAACTTTAGTTCTCAGTAGTTCTGATTAGAGTTCTGGATTCCTTTTGGATGGTTTAGGAGTTCTTTTGTACAAAAAATAATAGTTCTGGTGTTTTAACACATTATTTTTTTAAATCAGAACTCCTGAGAACTCTCAAAAAATTTTCAAACTCGGACTTGTATTTTTTTTGCTCGAAGTGATTTTTGAGAATATCTCAAAAACTATTGTTTTAATCAAAATTTCTCAGGAGTTCTGATAACAGTTCTGAATAGTATTCGACAAGTTCTACAAGAAACTTTAATGGTATTTTGCGAATTTTTCAATAATTAAAAAGTTATGGGTTGTCTGATAATATATCTAATTGATTAACTATTTATACTTGTCTATTGATGAAATTTATTATTATTATTATTTTTTAATATTCAGGAACTCTAGAACTCATCAAAATACATCAAATAAACTAAATAAGAACTATTCCATTGTAAATTTAGGTTTGAAGTTAGCACCGCATGTTTTATTTTAAAAAATAATGTGTTAAAACACCAGAACTATTATTTTTTGTACAAAAGAACTCCTAAACTATCCAAAAGGAATCCAGAACTCTAATCAGAACTACTGAGAACTAAAGTTGCGGTGCCAACTTCACACACCTCTTTCAACCTTGTTGAAAAAAACCGTTATTTCAAACACATTTAATTTTATAGAATATCGTCGCTAGAGCCAAGAAATGCATCCAAAGACACGATTTCGCCACCGCTTTAGTCATATTTCCCATATTCAAGCAACTGAGGAATTTGAAGCCCGAATTCGAAAAAACCGTGGCCGATTACGATTTGAACGTCAAACAGAAATTCGAGCAGATACTGCAAATGCTCCATTCCACTGTAAGTATTATGCAAATAGCGAGAATTGGTATTATACCTTACAAAATACAGGGTGGCCCAGAACTCACGCCCCACCGGGAAATGCCTTATGGAAACGACAATGGAGATGCCAAAACTGCAGTCGAAAACATGTAAAAGTTTTTCTTTTGGTAAATAAAGAGGTTCAAAATCGACCAATCCCAGTAGGAATTTAAATCCACGAAAATGACGTGAATTAGCTATACACCAATTTGGCATTATTGAAAGATTCTATTTCCTTTACACTTTCAAGGTTAATAAAAGCTGCCAAAATCAGCTGTAATTGTTTATTAAAGATTTGCTTTAAAATCGATCAAAAAATGGATCATTCGATTCGAACTACTTTTGAAGCGATAAAAAATTCTGTAGGTTTGATATCAGCACGACGAAGCTTCTGAATGATTGATTTAGAAGCAAATCTTCGATCAATAGTCACAACTGATTTTGACAGCTTCTGTTAACCTTGAAAGTGAAAAGGAAATAGAATCTTTCAATAATGTCAAATTGGTGTATAGCTAATTCACGTCATTTTCGTTGATTTAAATTCCTACTGGGATTGGTCAATTTTAAACCTCTTTATTTACCAAAGGAATGACTTTTTCATGTTTTAGACTGCAGTTTTGGAATCTACATTGTCGTTTCCATAAGGCATTTCCTGGCGGGGCGTGAGTTCTGGGCCACCCTGTATAGTTTGCCAGTTGAACATAGAGAAAAATTTTCCAACTGTCAAGCTGCTTTTGGTAAGGTATAATCGCTAATGTCCGATTTCACCAAAATGTTGTTAGGTATTCCTAACTAGGTAATTCCTAAGGTAGGAATTACTTAAATCGAATACTTACCTAAATCGAATTTCACCAACATTAGAAATCCCTTACTAAGAAATACCTTAGGTAAAAATTTGATTTTGACAATTTTTTGAATTTTATTGGTAGCATTGCCTAATTTTGATGTGTAAACCGAATAAGCGGAGATCGAAATTGAATATGTTGAGAGAAAAGAAGAGATGTTGACGATCCGGGCCATCTTTAAATTATGTTAGTTATTTTTAAATCTGCTGAAGATGTAGTCTTTACATTATTAGAAAAATAACCGTTCCGATTTGTAAAATATTTCTACATCTTCTTCTCCAGGACTATGGATTTTCACCACGATTAGTTTCCACATCAATTTGCTGCAATTTGGAAAATACATCTGGTCGGTCTATGGGAAGCGTTGGCATTACTTTGCGACGAGCCTTGTACATATTGTTACGAATGCACTGAATGTCTTCCGCTGTTATTTGATGACTCATTTCTCCAAAATTCACAATTTCTTCCCTTATAATTTTTGACGGTTTTTGTTCCAAGCTGTCAACAGCTTTTCTTTTAGCTGAGTTGCTTACCACTTGCCGAATAATATTGTTTTCTGCCGGATGGTCGTGACATAATTCTGACTGTAGGACTTTTGTTTCATCAGATGTACATGTATATAATTTTGCTTTACATGTTCTTCTGGTACACTTCCAACGAATCTTTCCTTCTTTCGACACGTGTGCCTTTGAAAACTTATAATTTTTTACCACTAACAAAGGAAATCCTTTCTCGCTTAAAATTTTTACGGCCGTTTCCATTTCGAATAATAAATACTATTCGCAACACTATATACTCAACTAGACACTTCAACAACGTTAACGGAAATAAATCGAACGAATTAAGATAGGATTGAGCTGGTATACGTAATTTGTTTATTATTTAATATTTCCACAAAATTAGAGCAAATGTTAAATCAATCAATCAAGAGTTAGTGGAATTCCTAAGCTTTAATGACCCCCCGCCTTACGTCTACCGATAAGATACATAATCCCAAATTAAGGGTCATATCGGATTATCTCAGGTAACGTGGCCCAACTGCAATGCGCCCGTAGTTTGTACATTATTAGAAAAATAACCTTTCCGATTTGTAAAATATTTCTACATCTTCTTCTCCAGGACAATGGATATTTACATGCATGTGTACAGGGTGGTCCTCTAAGAACGGCTCTCGGTTATATCTCGCAAACTAATTGTCGTAGAGACTTGCGGTAAAAAATCTTATGACTAAATCGGCCAAAAGAAATGGCCGAAATGGGTGTTTCTAAATATCATACTTGAAGATTATTAACAAATTGATTATTTTTGTGGATGGAACAACGCTAAATAGAGGTTGTTATATTGGTAGTGCAGCAAAAATTGTCCATTTTCTTGATTTTTTCCTTTTTTTAGATATATTTTAGGTTAGGAAGGGGATATCGAGATGCGGTTTTCACAGGCTGGTTTGGCAATTATTTGACTATTTTTCTCCAAAGAAAAAGTTACATCGTTGCATTTAAATTTTTTGAGAAAATTGGTGTTTTTTGAAGTAATGTCGAAAAACGCCATCTTGCGACCAAGCAAGCAATTAAAATAATATCTTATATAGTGTAAATTATAGACCAAAAAAAGCCCTTTTCAACAATTTAATTTTTTTGAAAATCGGTTCAGCCGTTTAAAAGTTATTAACATTTATTTGTCAAAATATTCAAACCACCCCCACCACTTTATTTTAAAAGATAGAGTCAAAAATATAAAACAAAAAAGAATCAAAATTATCTTAACTATCAAAATAAAATACATTTTTGATACCTTTATTTAGGACAATTTTGAAAAAAATGACTTTTAAAAATCAAGATGGCGGATACTCCCCCTAGCGGCCATTTTAGAGACTTAAAAATTATTTCCAGCATTTTCTTTTGGCCGATTTAGTTATAAGATTTTTTACCGCAAGTCTCTACGACAATTAGTTTGCGAAATATGGCCGAGAGCCGTTCTCAGAGGACCACCCTGTACAGTCAATAGTTCCAAAGACTTCCTGTGTATCAAATTAAAAATCATCTTCAATTCATTCTAATATTTGTAATGCCGTATTTTTATATATCGAAAAAGGCGAAAAAAAAATCAGTTTCGTCCAGTTTCTAAAAACTCTCCTCCCATTTTAAATGTTCATCTAAAGAGTCTAAAGACAGTCAAGACTTAAGTCACATGAAATCACATGGAAAGTATGGTTAAGTATTTCCTAAATGTTTTAGGCAAGCCCAGTGAGCTGTCCTAACTTTAGGCATTTTCTATTACCTTTAGGTATTACTTAGTGCATGGTGAAACGCAAATTGTACTTAGGAATTCCTAAATCCGGTTTAGGTATTACCTAACTTTAGGAACTTGTTGGTGAAATCGGGCATAAATAGTTTTAGACAGTTTTAAATTATTTACGATTTAGGAATTCCTAAATTGCTAAATCCTAACTTTAGGAACTGGTTGGTGAAATCGGGCATAATTGTCTGTTTTGAATAAGGGAAGGTGTTATCAATATAATTTTTCTAGGGAGCCAAAGCTTTAGAAGACTTTGTGGACAGCATTAGATCGGATTCTGTTACTCAATTACCCAGTGATGGGACTGTACACGAAATGACCAGCAACGTTTTGATGTTTTTGGAGCAATTGCTCGATTATATCGATACAATCGGAATCGTATTGGAAAGCGATCAGAATTACACCAGGCAATTAAGTAAATTGAAGTGTACGGATAAGAACAAGGCTATTTTAGGAATATACATTAGTAAGCGTATACAGGGTGGCACATTAGTATGGAAAAGCTCAATATATCTGTTATTGTAGAAGATATCAAAAAAACGTCATTACAATTTTTCGTAGTGGATCAAACTTATACTTTTTTAAATGGAACACCCTGTTTTTTATTTAAAAATTGAATTTAGCTCGCTTTTCAGCTTTCCAAAAATATAATTTTGTATAACGTTATACTGAGTGGTTTAAAAGTTATGACCAATTTTCCACGAAAATCGTATTAAGTTTACCACTCTGCAGAAACTAAATGGATTGAATTGAAAATAAATTTCAGGTTTTACAACATTGCAAATATCCTGAAAATGTACAAAATGAATATTTTTTGTCAATTTTAATCATACTGCTTACAGGGTGGATCCAAACGCAAAAGTAACATTTTCTCTGTTAATTTAAATGGATCACCCTATATTTTATATCGTTAACAGGAAGTATTTTTGAAGCACTTTCATTCTTAATAACCATTCCCTATACCTAAAGTTAACATTTTTCGAGATATTCCAATTAAAAAAAAACTAGAAAGGAATAAAAAAAAAATTAGGTTTCTTTTTGATCAAAGTACACGTTACAGAAAGAAGTAAGAAACGTCAATTAAATACTATCTGGTATGATTTGTCGGTATTGCCTCCACAATTTGTAAAAATTAGAATACAAAATGAATTTTTCTATTGAACAATTATTGATGGTTATGATTTGGGTATTGGGAGAAAGTTTAGAGAATTTGTTGGCTTGCCAAAAGGATTTGCCATGAGAGATATCCTGGAGGAATACAACCTAACAAAAAATCCTTTGAAAAATGTTTAGATTGTCTCAATCGTATGGCTTCAGCTGCATACTAAAAGCCAGAATGTAAAAAAACTATTCCAAACGAACAAAATTGACCAAATTATTATTAATAATTGGTATTAGCAATTGTTATAAGTCGCAATAGACACAATAAAGTTATTAGTACCTACACGATTAGCGATTAGTATCTGGTGATAAGTGAGTCCAATTAAAAAATATTGAAATATCTCGAAAAATATCAAATTTATGTACAGGGAAGGTTTATTAGGTATAGACAATTTTTACCAGAACTTCGGTTATTATAAAAAGGAAAGCTTAATTTTTTTTTCTTCAATTTTAAGTTATATTTTTTTTTAATTGAAATATCTCGAAAAGTGTTAACTTTAGGTATAGGGAATGGTTATTAAGAATGAAAATACTTCAAAAATACTTCCTGTTAACGATATTAAATATAGGGTGATCCATTTAAATTAACAGAGAAAATGTTACTTTTGCGTTTGGATCCACCCTGTAAGTAGTATAATTAAAATTGACAAAAAATATTCATTTTGTACATTTTCAGGAAGTTTGCAATGTTGTAAAACTTGAAATTTATTTTCAATGCAATCCATTTAGTTTCTACAGAGTGGTAAACTTAGTACGATTTTCGTGGAAAAGTGGTCATAACTTTTAAACCACTCAGTATAACGTTATACAAAATTATATTTTTGGAAAGCTGAAAACGATCTAAATTAAAATTAAGTTTAAAATGTGCAGTTTAAAAAGATCTACAACTTTTGTAATGAAGTTTTTTTGATATCATCTACAATAACAGATATATTGAGCTTTTCCATACTAATGTGCCACCCTGTAGTTATGTAATTTTTTACTGTTCTAATAATGTTAGAACTCTCAAAAATATTCTTTCATTGTGTTTTAGAGAAAGTTTTGGCTCAATTAAATCACACTTTGATCAGTAAAAGCGAGCAATACAGTGAACTAGCTTTGAAATCGTTGTTTCGTTTAAATAATAACAATTACGTGTTGAAATCATTGCAACGATCGAATTTAATGGATTTGTATCTGATTTCGGAGCCTAATTGCCAGGAATATTACTACACATCCATTCAGGATAACAAAAAGGCTTATTGTCAAAGGTATTTTATTTACAGGGTTGGGCAAAAGTCCGAAATAAAATTATTATCTTTTGAACCAGTAATTTAAACAAAAAACGCTGAAACACGTGAATTGATTTTATATTGGACGGATTTATTGCCAATAAAATGATTTTTTTTTCTTCAACCCCTTAGTTGCAACCCTACTCAACTTTATTTTTTTAAATACAAAGGTATGTCGTGTGTAGGGTCATTGAAAAGCCCGTGAAAAATGGAATCTAAAACATACCTTTTTTTATTTTTTCACATGTTGTTATTTGGAAATGGGCAAAAATTTCTTTTAAAAACAAAAATGTTACAATTATCTTTTTAGTGCTATCGACGTAGCAATGTTGAAAATGTCCTCCACCATCTACTTAACAGACTCCAAGGCGATGGTAAAACCTAATATCGGTAGCCTATCTTTAATTCTGAATGATTTTATTTTAAAAACAGGCGAGCCTGGGAAGGCAGCACAACAAATTTTATTGATTTTCCGTTTAAAACTGATAAGACAACTTAGCATCAACATTCATTGAAATTTATGTTTTAAGAAAACACTAAAACATAAAATGGGTTTAATTTGAAGCCATTGTTAATCAGTGAACTTTAAAAAGGAAAAAAGGTGTTGCATTTTTGTACAAGTTTTTTTTTACCAAAGGTTCGCCTGTTTTTATTAAAAAGTCATTCAGAATTAAAGATATGCTATCGATATTATGTTTTACCAATGCCTGGGAGCCTGTCAAGTAGATGGTGGAGGACATTTTTAACATTTCTACGTCGATAGCACTAAAAAAGTATTTGTAACTTTTTTGTAATTAAAAGAAATTTTTGCCCATTTCCAAATACCAACATGAGAAAAAATAAAAAAAAGGTATGTTTTAGATTCCATTTTTCACGGGCTTTTCAATGACCCTACACACGACATACCTTTGCATTTGAAAAAATAAAGTTGGGTAGGGTGGCAACTAAGGGGTTGAAGAAAATAAAATCATTTTATTGGCAACAAATCCGTCCAATATAAAATCAATTCACGTGTTTCAGCGTTTTTTGTTTAAATTGCTGGTTCAACAGATAATAATTTTATTCCGGACTTTTGCCCAAGTCTGTATTTCTCAAAACTACACCATTTCCAACTGTATTTCAGAAAGAGTCAGGTTCATTTAAGAATGCGTCAATTGAATTTCAGAATAGTCACTTATATTTCGGAATGTATCAATTGTATTTCAGAATAGTAAATTTGATTTCAGAAATCATCAATTGTATTTCAGAATAGTCACTTATATTTCGGAATGTATCAATTGTATTTCAGAATAGTAAATTTGATTTCAGAAATCATCAATTGTATTTTAGAATAGTCAGTTCGATTTCGGAAACGTTCATTTGAATTTCAAAATAGTCACTTATATTTCGGAATGTATCAATTGTATTTCAGAATAGTAAATTTGATTTCAGAAATCATCAATTGAATTTCAGAATAGTCACTTATATTTCGGAATGTATCAATTGTATTTCAGAATAGTAAATTTGATTTCAGAAATCATCAATTGAATTTCAGAATAGTCACTTATATTTCGGAATGTATCAATTGTATTTCAGAATAGTAAATTTGATTTCAGAAATCATCAATTGTATTTTAGAATAGTCAGTTCGATTTCGGAAACGTTCATTTGAATTTCAAAATAGTCACTTATATTTCGGAATGTATCAATTGTATTTCAGAATAGTAAATTTGATTTCAGAAATCATCAATTGAATTTCAGAATAGTCACTTATATTTCGGAATGTATCAATTGTATTTCAGAATAGTAAATTTGATTTCAGAAATCATCAATTGTATTTTAGAATAGTCAGTTCGATTTCGGAAACGTTCATTTGAATTTCAAAATAGTCACTTATATTTCGGAATGTATCAATTGTATTTCAGAATAGTAAATTTGATTTCAGAAATCATCAATTGAATTTCAGAATAGTCACTTATATTTCGGAATGTATCAATTGTATTTCAGAATAGTAAATTTGATTTCAGAAATCATCAATTGAATTTCAGAATAGTCACTTATATTTCGGAATGTATCAATTGTATTTCAGAATAGTAAATTTGATTTCAGAAATCATCAATTGTATTTTAGAATAGTCACTTATATTTCGGAATGTATCAATTGTATTTCAGAATAGTAAATTTGATTTCAGAAATCATCAATTGAATTTCAGAATAGTCACTTATATTTCGGAATGTATCAATTGTATTTCAGAATAGTAAATTTGATTTCAGAAATCATCAATTGTATTTTAGAATAGTCAGTTCGATTTCGGAAACGTTCATTTGAATTTCAAAATAGTCACTTATATTTCGGAATGTATCAATTGTATTTCAGAATAGTAAATTTGATTTCAGAAATCATCAATTGAATTTCAGAATAGTCACTTATATTTCGGAATGTATCAATTGTATTTCAGAATAGTAAATTTGATTTCAGAAATCATCAATTGAATTTCAGAATAGTCACTTATATTTCGGAATGTATCAATTGTATTTCAGAATAGTAAATTTGATTTCAGAAATCATCAATTGAATTTCAGAATAGTCACTTATATTTCGGAATGTATCAATTGTATTTCAGAATAGTAAATTTGATTTCAGAAATCATCAATTGAATTTCAGAATAGTCACTTATATTTCGGAATGTATCAATTGTATTTCAGAATAGTAAATTTGATTTCAGAAATCATCAATTGTATTTCAGAATAGTCAGTTCGATTTCGGAAACGTTCATTTGAATTTCAAAATAGTCAAATTCATTTCAGAAATCATCATTTGTATTTCGGAATTCTTCAATATCTATAGCTTTTTAATCTCAATTTCAGAGAAAATTATAAAAGTATCAGTTCAAGAAGAATAATTTCGATTTCAGAAAAAAATATTTCAATTCCGGAGAGAAGTTGTTTCAAGTCCGAAAAAATAATATAAGGACTGAGTTTTTCTTCTTCCTTATTAATTGTAATAATAATTGTCATATGATTTCTGCATTCCAAATGGGACTCTGAAATCCTTTTGACGGTTTCCGAAATACGAATGACACTTTCCGAAACACAAATGATAATTTCGGAAATCAAATTGACTATTCTGAAATTCAATTGTTGATTTCTGAAATCAAATTGACTATTCTGAAATTCAATTGTTGATTTCTGAAATCAAATTGACTATTCTGAAAATTCAATTGATGATTTTTGAAATCAAATTGACTATTCTGAAATTCAATTGATGATTTCTGAAATCAAATTGACTATTCTGAAATTCAATTGATGATTTCTGAAATCAAATTGACTATTTTGAAATACAACAGATACTTTCCGAAATATAAGTGACTATTCTTAAATTCAATTGACGCTTTCTGAAATACAACTGGAAAAGGTGTAGTATTACTGATTTGATATATGCAATTTTTACTTTGTAGCTGGAGTAAACTTTTGAATTATATAATTTCCGACGAAACGCCATTTAATTTGTATAGCGAAAAACTGAAGGATAAAGAGCGGGCTGTAATTAAAGAGAAGTTTGCAGTAAGTATATGACGATTTGGTGGAAGATAACTCGATTAAAATTTACAATTCGTTTAAGGGTTTTAATAAGGAAATAGAAGAGATTTCCAAAGTTCAAAGAGGTTACTCGATACCCGACATCGAACTAAGGGAGAGCATCAAGAGGGATAACAAAGAATTGATTATTCCGCGTTATAATGCATTTTACAACAAGTAATTTTTCTCTATATCTTACGCATTAATCAAATAAATAAGTGAACTTAAAACAAATTCAAAACAATCTCAGATTACTAAGTAGATACACTCCTGGACAAAATTAACGCAACATCATAAATTTGCCACATTTTTTATGCTATTTTTTGTTTGAATTTATGATCCGATTTGGATGATTTTTTTTTGTATTATAGGTTGGTTCCTTGACAATGTCATCATTTTCGCTGTTTATGATAAAATGTTCCTTCTCGATTATACCGGGTGTAATAAAAATGTAATGTTTTTTTCCGAAAATTCGTATCACTCTGTGGAGTATACTAGCAAACGAGACATATAGCAGTTGAAATTAGACGGTAGATCCATCTTTTGTCAACATTTTCTTTTTTGGTTTACTTCATTATCTCTGTTATTAAAGGAGATCCGCCGTTTTATAGCGTAACATGTTTTAATAGACTTTATTATTCAAAACATTCATTGTTAAATGTTTTCAAGTAGGCTATGGACCATTTTTGACATTTCAAGTGATGTGTCAATATCGAATACATTAGGTTTGTTCCTACAAAAAGTCACTGATTTGTTACCAATAAGTTTCTGACTCTTCTATTTCGCATGCGCGGTTTATGATTGAATGGTGTAATCAAATTTCCGATTTCTTGATGGAACAGTCTTTACATTTATTACATATTCACCAAGTCTCAAACAAAAACAACAAGCAACATAACCTAATAATTAACCTATATTCAGAAATACAAATTAAACCCAAATTGAAAATGCGCTTGCGCCGGATTCTAAATCTCTGTACTATCAGCAAATTTTTCTGACTATCACAAAACCAGTCCCTTGAACTGTTGGAACAATAAATTGTTAACCAAGTCAGAATCAGAGATGTCTGTGGAGTTTGTTGGAACGCCTAAATTATTACTGCGCAGACTCCTGACGATCACCGACTATTTCTGACTGTTGTAGGAACAAACCTATTATTTGTTATCTGTATAACAAAATAATTCCTGCTGAATGAATGAAAACAAAATTAACGAATTACTTTATTTCATAAAGTAAAATTAAGAGTTTATTAAACACATTTTTTGGAAACGAGTAAAACAAGGAAAAAACATAAATCAAAAACAATAAAATTAATGGATTTACTCATTGAATAGCCATCATCCACCAAAGTTAAGGCTTTTACTGCTTCTTCGGTCGATAAATTTTTTGGACGATTCATTTTTCAAGTTTAAAATAATAAATAATGTATTTGGTATTGACACATCGCTTGAAATGTCAAAAATGGTCCATAGCCTACTTGAAAATATTTAACAATGAATGTTTTGAATAATAAAGTCTATTAAAACATGTTACGCTATAAAACGGCGTATCTCCTTTAATAACAGAGATAATGAAATAAACCAAAAAAGAAAAAGTTGGCAAAAGATGGTTCTACCGTCTAATTTCAACTGCTATATGTCTCGTTTGTTAGTATACTCCACAGAGTGATACGAATTTTCGGAAAAAAACATTACATTTTTATTACACCCGGTATAATCGAGAAGGAACATTTTATCATAAACAGCGAAAATGATGACATTGTCAAGGAACCAACCTATAATACAAAAAAAAATCATCCAAATCGGATCATAAATTCAAACAAAAAATAGCATCAAAAATGTGGCAAATTTATAATGTTGCGTTAATTTTGTCCAGTAGTTTATAAATTTGCAGAAGTATTTTGAAGTATTCACATATTTTAATTTATTTTTCTTGTAGATTTGCGGGTGTCAATTTCACTAAAAATCCGGAAAAGTACATCAAGCACAAACCAGACGATGTATCTACAATAATCGACAGGTTTTTCGATGTAGCTGCTTAATTATAACAGTCATTTAATTATTTATATTATAATATATTATCAGTTAATAAAAATACATACTTATTCATCCATTTTAACATTTATTCAAAAAGTTCTAGAAGCAAATAATAAATAAAAGTGAGAATAATATTGGTAATAATAAAGTTTCATTACTTACAATGAGACACAAAAGTCTAATAAGGAATCCCTTGGGAAATCACCTTTTTTTATCCATCTTGTCCAACATAAAGAAAAAAGAGGAAGGTCCACTCAATCTTTATGGAAAGTCCAAATTTTGGTCCCTATTTAAAAGATATTTTTCTTCAAGAAGATAATGAACGCGTTCTTATGCGTGTTTTTTAAGTTATCTGAATGTATAATCAATTTATATTTGGTACAAATTAATGGGCGATATACAGTGTGTCTCACGACGAGGGCCCATTAGAAGTATCTAGAAAAGTAGTTATAATTAAAATTTGAAAATTTGTGTACAAGTATTAGTCGATGTGCTCTATTTAATGAAAATATTTTCAACTTTTCTTTACTTCCGATTATACCGGAAGTGGACATCAACTTTGTTATTTTAAATGGGACACCCCATATATTAATATATTTTTGAAATGTACGCAAAATTTTAGAGTGCTTTTGTCTAAAAAACTTTTTTCAAAAATGCATACTTTTTGAGTTGCTAATTTTTTTTTTGAAAAATTTGACCGATGCAGACCCTTATAAATTATTTTTTTAAGGGGATCCTTTTAAAGATATGGATACGGTTTCTGTAGGGTGGCAACTAGCAAGGTCAAAGGTATTTGAATATGTGTTAAAAAAACTTTTTATTTTATACAGGGTGTATACAAAACATGTGAAAAGTTGAACTTCAAAAATACCAAATTATTTCATTTTTTTAAATGGAACCACCCATTTTTTCTATTTTATTGAAATCAGCGATAAAAAATAAGGAAAGTTCATGTTTACTTCCCTATACCTAAACCTAATAGGTTTGATAATATTAAAAATTTTACTTAAATCTTACTTTTCTGCCTTATTCTTAAATAACTCTGTTTTACAAGTTGGCCATGTAATATCTCACAAGTACCAAAATTAATAATCAATTAATTACAAACAATTTACATAGCCAACTTGTAAAAACGGATTATTTAAGAATAAGGCAGAAAAGTAAGATTTATGTAAAATATTCAATATCTTCAAAACTATTAGGTTTAGGTATAGGGAAGTAAACATGAACTTTCCTTATATTTTATCGCTGATTTCAATAAAATAGAAAAAATGGGTGGTTCCATTTAAAAAAATGAAATAATTTGGTATTTTTGCTTAGTGGCTTAGTAGCTGTCGTGCAAAAAGCCCATTTTTTAAATCGCTTCCCTATAAATAATTTTTTTAAATCGCTGCCTCTCAAGCCAGCTCTTGTAGAGAGAGTCGAGTAGGCCACAAGTCGTTATCGACATCGACAGATCAAGAGTGCAGAGAAGAGAGTAGACCCTTCGCTGGGGATCCTTTGTCATCCCATTAATGCGTCCGGGTACTTGCGGTTCGAGGCCGAAAAGGCACCGGCGAAACAAGGAGGGCAACAACAATTCTGGTAGCCTCACACGCCGAAATCGGTATTCTTTATTACCATGGGCGTAGCAACACGAAAATTATGGTAGGTAAACCTTCCACGATGGAAGTTTATTTACAGGGTGTTTCACAACTTATCCGACAAATTCTAACCACATATGCACTGTTATGAAAGAAGTTAATTACACAAAAAAAATGTAATAAGTGAAAGATTATTGGCGAAATATCAGAATGTTACTAAGCGAAAGATGTGAGTTAATCGTGTTACCTGATTGATAAAAAAATATAGTGTACTTCATATATGACGTTTATAGATGAGTTGACAAATGACAATTGGCGTTTCCGCTGTCTTCAATGTTAATTTCGTACAAGTTATCATTTTCTGTAGTATATTTTAGTTTTATTTAACAAACTTTTGTTTATTTCGTATTTTAGTGGTTCTTTAATATTCCGACGGCCGTATACAGGGTGTTTCACAACTCATCCGACAAATTTTAACCACATATGCACTGTTACGAGAGAAGTTAATTTCCCAAAAAAAATGTAATAAAAGTCTTACAGAAATCGAGATAATAAAATAATAGTTTAACAGTTCAATTACTTATACAAGATGTTCAAAATTGTTCCCATTTACTGCAATGCAAGCTTGGGTGCTTGTTTTTTTTTGTTTTAACCATTGTTTTGGTGCAACATTTGCTACAGTAAAGTATTAAGGCAAAATTATGAATGCAAAATGCAGTATTTATTTTTCAATTTTTTATTGAAACTCAGGTTTTTAATTTTATTTCTGTAGGACTTTTGTTACATTTGTTTTGAGAAATCAACTTCTCTCTCTTTGAGAAATCTCAAAAAAAATGTAATAAAAGACCTACAGAAATAAAATTATAAACCCGAGTTTCAATAAAAAATTGAATAATAAATACTGCATTTTGCGTTCATAATTTTGTTTTAATACTATACTGTAGCAAATGTTGCACCAAAACAATGGTTAAAACAAAAAAAAACAAGCACCCAAGCTTGCATTGCAGTAAATGGGAACAATTTTGAACATCTTGTATAAGTAATTGTACTGTTAAACTATTATTTTATTATCTCGATTTCTGTAAGACTTTTATTACATTTTTTTTGGGAAATTAACTTCTCTCGTAACAGTGCATATGTGGTTAAAATTTGTCGGATAAGTTGTGAAACACCCTGTATAATCGTACTAAAGGGAAAGTGTTTTTTTGAAGAATCAGTTTTCTGTAATTAGGGCAAGTAAGGAGTAGAGATTTTGCAAAATTTTTGGAGGAAATATGCAATGAAACGTTTTTTTATAGAATGAAATAGATACTAATCTTTTATCCCAATTATTGGGTGGATTATAGTTAAAAAAGTGTTCAAAGAGAGATGATTATATATGAAACTTTTTTCTATAAAATAAAGTAAATATGAAGTTTCTATAATCACTTTTATTTTTATAATGAACTATACTGCTCCACAAAAGTTAAGGAAGTTCACAAATATTGAGATTAATTTAAAAGTTACAGGTTTTTTGATTGCCAAATTTAGTTGGAGTTGTAAAGGTAGGGACAAAAAATCCACTCAGATATGAGAGAAAACATTTAATTTCGCATATTTGAAAATTTGGTGATCAAAAAGTCTGTAACTTTTAAAATAATCGCAAAATTTGCGAACTTTTGTGGAGCAATTTATTATGATTTCAATATAATGTGAAAAAATCAAACTAATCCGAAACCTACTTAATACTAACTTGAAGAGTTATAAAAGATTCTAGTCCTTTAGAATACTGCAAAACTAGTCCTTTACAACACACTATAATAATACAACTCATCTACAACTCGTATAACAAATTTCTTCTCGTGAACAATACCAGTAACTTTTTTCTATAAAATAAAGTAAATATGAAGTTTCTATAATCACTTTTATTTTTATAATGAACTTATGATTTCAACATAATGTGAAAGAATCAAACTAATCCGAAACCTACTTGATACTAACTTGAAGAGTTATAAAAGATTCTAGTCCTTTAGAATACTGCAAAACTAGTCCTTTACAACACACTATAATAATACAACTCATCTACAACTCGTATAACAAATTTCTTCTCGTGAACAATACCAGTAACTTTTTTCTATAAAATAAAGTAAATATGAAGTTTCTATAATCACTTTTATTTTTATAATGAACTATTATGATTTCAATATAATGTGAAAGAATCAAACTAATCCGAAACCTACTTAATACTAACTTGAAGAGTTACAAAAGATTCTAGTCCTTTAGAATACTGCAAAACTAGTCCTTTACAACACACTATAATAATACAACTCATCTACAACTCGTGTATCAAATTTCTTCTCGTGAACAATACCAGTAAATATAAGACCAGTGTTGTTAAGTAATTAATTGCAAGTAATTGAAAAAGTAATTGAATTACTTTTATTGTAATTAAGGCGGTAATTAATTATAAGATCCTCAATTGTAATTCATTTGTAATTCAATTACTCCTTTCGTTACAATTACAATTACATTTTACAATTACATTTCAATTACATTGGACACAAAAGTACTTATTTAATATTTTCAATACTTGGAAAGTTTAATTCCGATTGCAAATCCCTAAATAATTATTTAAAACTGACACCAAAGCAAAGTAATTGTGATTGTAATTGTAATTGTAACTTTAATTGTAATTGTAATTACATTCGCAAATTTTGTAATTGTAATTGCAATTAATTACAATTTGCCAAAAGTAATTGTAATTAATTACATATTATAAAGTAATTTTAACATCACTGTATAAGACTACTTGAATAAACCGTTCATAATGTACTTATAGGTGAGTATAAGTAGATAAAGCTTTTTCTAATGGTGTGTGTTGAGTACGCCCATGGAAAAGTCCTCACGCTCTGTATGGGGTCCCTTTTTAATCGGCTACAACGAACCATATGAATGAAACAGGTTTTTTGTCGGGGACTTTTTAGACAATGCGGGGTGTTATCCAGATGGACGACTATATAACATGTGTTTTTTTTATAATTCGAATTCGAATATAAAAAAAGCTTTACGCCACAGTGGTCCGAAGGTACAGGGGACATCACAAAACAGTTTTATACGAAATCCGAAATTAGTACGATGCGATATTTTGAACCGGATAAATCGTTAGAATTGTTATATTTCGTTGCTGTTGCTTTTACTATCGGTGGTGGTTTGTTGTTATTATATTTAACAAATTGGTATGTTTGTGAATTTTATCTAATTATTTCTAATTGTTTAATTATTTACCTCGACATATTGCCAAGTGAATTATCTCGAAACTTAAAATTGAAGAAAAAAAAATTAAGCTTTCCTTTTTAATAATAACTTTTACTAATTTAATTAATTTAAACTTTTAATAATAACCGAAGTTCTGGTAAAAATTGTCTATACCTAATAAACTTTCCCTGTACCTAAATTTGATATTTTTCGAGATATTTTAATATTCTTTAATTGGATTCACCTATCACCAGATACTAATCGCTAATCGTGTAGGTACTAATAACTTTAATATGTCTATTGGGACTTAT